ACGACGGGTGAGTTAGTATGTGAAAGTCAAAATATCCTGTAAATATCTTTGTATATATATAATAAAGACACGCCATGTTAACCTGATTGTGGGTTAAAAAAAAAAAAAAATAAAATAAAATAAATCAATAATAGAAGAGTAGATATTGAACCAGTAGAATATCACCAAAAAAAGGAATGAAAATTTAATTGAAAACAACTCTCTTTATTTCTAGTGTTAAAGAAAGCATTTATTCAAGAATTCCAGTATGTGACTATACCTAGTTTTACAGGCTTGACCTTGGTGAAAAGAGAAATTCACAGACCACTTTGAAGGGCAAAGAAATCCAAAATAATTAAACTACTCTTAAATAAAATTGGTTTAGAAAAAATTAATAAAATAGTGCATGTCTTTTCAATGAGATGGTACTATTATCACAGTAGTAAAATATGCATAGTTATCTATGTATATCCTTGTATATTTATTTTCATTAAATATTCCAAAATTAAATAATTTATAATAAAAAAAAAAACAAATAACACGGCATATAAAATTATTCAAATTTTCAAGCTATAATAAATAATTCGTTTATATCAAAATTTCGAATCGAATATATAGTATTAATTGCTACAAATTATGTTTTGAATTATATTCATTTTCACCATACGTTTGATCATTATACGTATATATAAGCTTAAGTCAATTGGACAATTATATTTTTTTCCATGGCTTCAAATTCCTATTAAATTAATATAAGAAGTTGGAAAATGTTTGTTTTACTAAAATAAAACTAGAGAAATCTCAATGGATTTCTCTTAGAACCATAGAAACATCTAAAAAGGTGTGCATTTAGAAAGGGCATGCATTTATAGAGATAATTTTCTCATGTGCTCTGTACAGTTGGGATCAGATTTGGCCGTGCATTTAGGAAGGTAAACATAATGAATGCGTTTATAAAGAGGTCTCCCTGTATTTTATTAACAGCTCTAACTCAATTATTGTTATAAAAACATTATAAACATTATCAAACATAATCCCGCTACCTAAAATTCAATGTCCCGATTGCCAATATATATGGAATACAAGTTTACAATAATACATAGATGTTCATAAACCTAGCGTTAAATAAAATAGTCGTACAAGTTGCTCTTTACTCTTTTAGCCAAAACTTCCCTATATTATACGTATTCGGCCACTTTTTGAAATTGCTCGTCGAGATGCCTTTTCAAAGCATCAATCTTTGATATATAAATAATTAATTAGAATCCGCTACCTTAAATAACAAATTATACAAAAAATAAAAAAAATAATAATAATAATCAACCTTTAATTTTAGTATTCCCAGTTCCACCTCGGGTTTTGCGACAAGACACAAAAGCATATTCTTAACAGTTGTCATTGCAACATTTCCTTCCTTTCCAAATAAATTTTACGAAGAAATCAATGATCAGTAAATATTAAAATAATCATAATGATTTTCTAGAAAACATACCTCGCATTCTAGTAACAGAAACTTTAATCCATCGTCCCTCAACAAATTTTTACCATTCTTTTCGAAAGTATTCCAAATATTTGACGATATGGCCGCGTAAACTCTAGCCTCACTATCCAAGTCGGATTTAAAAGCCAGAGGAGAGCCTTCTGAATTCAAAAGACTTATAATTTGTATTTGGTGAGCGTACACTTCACTTCAGACTTTAGTAGAAATCAAGATAGGAACTTACAGCGTTGCTTTAACACCGCCGGTAGTTGCTTGTTCAAGAACACGGGTGATCGCTTTCGGTTTAAGCATTTTAGCAAATCATAAAAATCCATTGCTAATTTTAAATTATTGGTTATTGTTTGTGTTAGCCTAAAACAGTGTCACGTGATCAAACATGTAAATACTGTATATATTACTCGTATTACGAAACATTCTCCTCGAAATAATGGAAATTAACATTTCTACTACCCTCAAATCAGCTCTTCCTATACGCGACACAGATTGCGTCTATGGATCAAAGCAAGATACAATACAGCAGAAAGAACTGCACCTTTTACCATGCAACATTGATTATGACGGGAAAGCCAATATCGATAAGTTCTTTTTGGTAAATAAACTAAAAAATGATATAGACGCAATGAATACCGAGGATAAGCGAGAAGGAAATGATACTGGTAATTGGATTTTCGAAATAATGTTTGTTTCCATCGCGATTTAATATTTATAAATTATAAAAAGAACTTTACGAGTCATTTTTTCGTGGACGTCGTCTCATTGGAAAACTGCACGTATTAAGCGAAGAATATGAAGGTAAAATGAGGATGAAGTCCGAAAGTTATTATATATATTAATAAAAATTTTTATAGGCTATATATTCAGAGAATCATCATATGCAATGAATGGAAATGAAATGCAAGCATCGGTTGAAGAAATGGAAGAACAGACGCGTAATTGGGATGCAATTCAAAAGTTTAATTCTTTTATGGTTTGGGAACACGATGATGTTCCTGATTCCTTGAATAACGAAATTATAAAATCCTTTGATTGGTTAGATATATCCAAAATAGTGAGTGTTCATCAATTTTCTTTGAATTTGTAATTTTCTAATGTATCAAAACCTTTGACGCGTAAATTTAAATTAGATTCACGAACCAACTCCTCCGACCATTTAGTTTTGAGATTTATAGTCGATGTCATGGAATAAAAAGGATTTTTTTGAAAAAAATTGTAGATACTTTACTTTGTAAAATGTATATTATTCATGATGACTTTTGAAGACTGGAAATTGGAATGGATATAAACTATAATGAATATTAAAAAATATTTGAAAAAAATTTTATTTATAGTTAGATTATAATGTGTACCCCTTTATTATATTAAAATCAGCTATAATAATATAATGGTAATTTACTAACTTAAAATATTTAATACATATTAAAAGAATTGCAAAGTAGTTTACTAGTTTACTTGTTATCAACATAAGAAATTATATTTCTAAATATAATTTAAAGATTAATATTTTGCTTCCTTAAATAATTAATCTAATAATTTTTATTATACTTGTGATAGAATTGTTGAACATACTATATATAGTAACTTCATTTTATTATTAAAAATATAGTAATTCTATTATAATTCTATCTTTTGAAGCTTTTAAATTTTAATTTCATCACTTGTATAATTTTTATTATTGAAGTTAATTATCATAATTGATTATTTTAGTATTTAATTGAAAAGAAATTTAAATAAATAATTTTAAAAAAGTTTTAAATAAAATTTACCTATATAAACGATTTTTTATTTGATTTTTATATTATTGATTTTTTATTATTTTATATAAGCATAAATAATTTATAATAGATTCAAAATCATGCATAATATAGAATTATTTTAATAATTTCTTAACTTTTAATTATTTTATATACCGCATTTATTGTGTCACATGTATGACATCATAATTGTTCTCCGAAAGGGGCAAAAAATTTTATATACCAATACCGTAGGTGCGCGCGTATTTGCCACCATGCCACGGTTCTTTTCCAATCCTACAGTACGAGCCATTATTGGGACTGCCTCTTGGATTCCTGTAATAATTTTTTGCTTGGACCATGGATACACTGTAGGTTCTATCAGCGGTCGCTCAATGCAGGTAGACATGTTAAATATCGAAGGACAGTTTTCCCAATATAATAAAAGATTTTTCGACTTATCGAACATGCCTGCTATCAACTTAGCCAACGTTTAACCCGGATTCAAATAAACTTAGTAAAGATCTTGTTCTACTGAACCGTGCTGCTGCCATCACACACAAACACAAAAGAGGCGATGTGGTCACACTATAGTAAGTGTAAAACTTTTTTCTTGTAATTCGTGATATGTTCTAATAAATATTCCTAACATTTCATAAGCTCACCCGACAATCCAGATAAGATTGTGACAAAACGCATAATAGCGTTGGAAGGTGACACGGTTTTCACGTTGCCCCCATACCCAGAAAAATTCTTGCGAATACCAAGAGGTTATTGTTGGATCGAGGGCGACGACACATTTCACAGCAAGGACAGTAACACATTTGGACCGGTGAGTATAATAGTTGGTGTGGTGTATTTAGACGATGCATACTGTCGATATCATTAATTCTATGATGTCCTCATATAGGTGCCATTGGGCTTGATCAATTCAAAAGTAACTTGGATACTATGGCCATTTTCACGGTTCGGTAGAGTTCCACGTATCGAGAAACCAGAACGTATTTCGGTTTACTTAGGGGACGTTAATCTTTTAGATATTTTTGACGTGCAAGAATGAAAATAAATAGAATAATATGCATATGTTTATTTATTTTATTTTATTTTAAGTGGTTGTTAAAAAGATTTCGGACATTCAAATTTAATTCAAGTATTTCGGCATTATATCCTTTACCTTCAGTCAGAAGGTGGACTCGCTACTCTGATTCTTGATTACCAGGCCTAAATTTTCCTCAAAATAAAGTTAAAGTTGACAATTTAATGGTTTTGTTATTTTGAATTGCGGCATTATAACTGGGATATTCGGATTCGGCATACAATAAATTCAACAAAAATACTAAAGAGCTCAATTCTATTGGCCCACAATATTGGACGTGAAAATTACTCAATTAGCTTTTGTCTTTTTGCGGAGGGCTTTGATTTTCTTTTGTCTATATTCCCTATATTTTAAATCAGTACCCATGAGAAGATCCCACCATCTAAACGATGTTGAAAAGCAATTGACGAAGGACATGTGGTGATAATCGTGGTGTTCTGCTCCAGCCCAGAAAGGAAGAAAGTGGCGAAGGGACCAAGGAAAATCTTTAAAAATAATAATAACTTTTAAAATTCAATGATCGAATAAAAACTTCAAACTTGTAAAAAATTGATTACCATATCCAGAGTGTGCATCGACGGCCTGGAACAGGCGTAGGATGATCCATATGAAGACAGTGATTAGGTGAAGGTTGTTAGTAATGGCTACCCATAAAAGTGGACCGCCAATGGTTCCCGTGCCCAAGATGAGAACTTCAATCGGATGGGCATATTCCGCAGCCTATTTAGCGGAAACCCGGAAAACAAGTAAATAAATGCTCGAAGGCATCTAGGCGTCTGAAATGTGACGTACCAAACCAAAAGGTGCCGAATATTCGTGGTGTTGTTTATGAATATATTTATAAAAAGGACCGTAATGCAAGAGACGATGGAACCAATAATGAAAGGTGTCCTCGAAGACAAAGAATATGGCCACTTGGTATGCTATTATTTTCCAACTGGGAAAAGGTACGGTAGTTATCTCCATACCAAAAAAAGTGGCGATGGGATGAAATGTAAAAATAAGCGGAAGTTCAATTAGAAAATGCGCGGCTAAAACTGCTTTCATGCATTTCCATTGCCCTGATGTAGTGTTGACTGTGTTCTACCCAATGATCAAAACGAGCAAAAAAATGAATTAATTCGAAAAACACGTTTAATTGCCGCTTTGTTTAAGAGGTTTTTCAATCTTACAGGCTGAAGTTTATATTTTTGAAACGCTGGTATGAAATCTGCAATCCAAAATGGCACACAACGACCAAAGTAGGTAATTTCGTGCATAAGGAAGGCAATCAGGGCAGTTGCAACACCTTCGTTATCGAAACAATCAAACCATCCTGCCCACGCTTTTTCAACAAAATTTAAATCATTAGTCACCGACGTAGTAAAATTACCGAACCTGCACAGAAGAATGCATTATTTAAAAACAACTCTTAATTCTCGAAATTCTCAGATTAAAGCAAAACATTATTTACATTTTGAGCAAGAAATTGAACGAAATGAGTGCACGAAAAGGATTATTTATAAAAAAAAATGCGCTCGAAAGCAGTTGGTGTAAACTGGGATGAAGAAGTTGCTCTTTTTCAGGTGACTTTCATTAATCTTTTGAATTTTAGTCATTTTCGATTAGGTCTTTAGTTCCGTCATTCTATGGCCATTTCCAGTAAATTATCGACATTGCTGCAAGATGGTATGATTCAAGAGTGTTTATCCAAAAAGAAAATTATCAAAAAATTCATTAAATTACTGGCTAAATTCGACGTGTTTCCTTGAGGCGCATAGTCTGACACAAATTGATATGCTCTTAACTGGTTAGCTATCAGCGTGCAATACCTTTTTGAACTCAATTTCTAATATCGAAAAGGCTTTGATATCCTATTTATGCGTGTACATTTTTTTAAAATAATAAATGAATGATTTATTAATATTACATGATTGTGTACAGTATATGCTATAAATAAAAAAAAATTTTTTTTTTATATACAGTTTTTTTTTTAAATGTCAGCTCAACCTTAGCTTTATTGAATATATTTCATAATGTGAAATACTTGTAAAAAAATAATTAAGATCTATAAAATTAAACAATATGACTATTGGAATCAACCTTGAACATATTGCTGTTTTTTAAAAAGTGAAAACTAGTGAAAGATCATTAGTACTAAAAAAAAAAAAATTTTTTTAAAAAAGAAAAGAGAAACTATCTTAAAACAAATAAAATCTTCTTTATAAAAGTTTCATTAATCGCAATGAATAGCTGATTCTTCACTTAAAAGAAGAAAAAGATCTCCTTAAATGTTTAGAAGAAGTAAACAGAAAGGAGGAAGTCTTTAATTTTTAATAACTAGAATCAGGAAAAGAAGAACAATGGATTAATTGGTTATAGATAAGATAGAGAAAAAGATATTCTGAACTCACAATCCAGAAGAAAGCAAAGACATATAGTATGTAAGTCTAGTGGATATGGATTGTAAACTTTCCAAAAGTTATAAAAAGAAGATATAAAAATATTAAAAACATTGATATCTATAAAATAAAAATCAAGATCAAAGTAAAAACCTATCTCAAGTAGTATAAACACTTCAAAACCAATTCTAAAGAAATATGAATGATACTGCTTGAAATAAAAATAATAAAAACAATCTTTATTAAAGAAGAACTGACTGATAAAGAAATAAATAAGATTTTGATCAAATGAAACAAACATTCAGCTAGGCTCTTAAACACAAATAGAATATTCTCAAGTTTAGTAGTCAGGACACCTAATGGTACAGAAGCTAAGGCTTGTTATACACCAAGAAACACTTATACATTAAAAAAGCAAAACTTTACAATAGTATACTTTGCAATATAACAAAAGCTTGTAAGTAATATATTTTCTTGCAGATATTAAGACTATTCTGGAATGGAAAAGTCACAATAGAAGAAACTATAAGGGGTTCTAAATCTAGAGTTGAAAGATTAAAAGGAAGGCTGGGGTATAAAACAGTAAAAATAGATATCAAATCTATATCAGATTTGTCATCAGATAGTGAATCAATAAGTTCTACTATAACTATTGAATATAAGTGATTAATTAGTCAAAGAAAAAGGTATCAAGATTAGAATAGTAATATCCAACAAAGATACCATAAAACCCTAGGCTGTTTAGCAATAGGAAGCAATAGAGAACAATTGGGAAATTCTAGAAGTTTACTAGAGAATCAGAATAGGAGACAGTATAATAAACCAGAGCTTGGAATAAGCAAAATTTACTAAAACTCATATTGATAAATCTAAAAAGCTAAATGGAAAAATTGCCAAACTTGAACACTAGTTACAAAATATTTATTTGAAATAATGTTATTTGTGTAATATTTGTTAAAAAAATAAATAATTTGACATATTAATGATATAAATAAATCATTAATCAATTTTTATCATATAATTCGACATATAATTTGACATAAATAAATTGTCAATCAATTTCTACTATATAATTTGACATAAATAAATCATTAATCAATTTCTATTATATAATTCAATATTATTTGTTATATTTGAACTATTTTTACTATTTATTTCATTAAAATTTTTTTCAAAAAATCATTAGACATTTGCCAAAATTTCAATTTTATCAAAATTTATATATTTATTGAATTTTAATTATATATTATATTTACAATTTAAAGAAATTACAGCTAAATATTTACAAAAGTTTTGTTAATTTGAGGTTCTATATATAAATGGAATAAATTGACCAAAAATATTATGAATAGGAATTATGCATTCACATCTAACTGAGTAAAATTTAGTACTCTACAATTCAATATTTGCATCATTTTAAGATCCGAAATAAAATTTATTTTCTATCAAATTACCAGTTTGTATTGTCAAATAAAGACTAATTGATATTCAATAACATTATTCAAAAAGTTTATTGAATGTATAAAGAAGAATTGAGCTTGTCCTGGATATAAATTGACACTTCTATTGTGATTCATGAATCTAGCTAATAAAAATAAGTCCTTAATATTTTGTGAAGATATAACAGAATTGAATATTTCATTTTCAATTCAGTATCTATCATATTGATCTACTCCATTCCAAATAATTATTAAATTTTTATTATCTTTTGTAAATAATTTCCAAAAGTTCATAGTTTTATAAGAAACCTCATAGTATTTGATTAATAGATTTAATATTTCAGTAGATATCTCTAAATTTGATTTTTTTAAATACAAAAGTTCATCTGAAAAATGTTTGGATCTATTGATTATTGTTTTATGAATCTTATATATATTGTTTAAAAATCAATATAACTCGTCAGCCAAAAACTGATCTAGTTCGGAAATTGAGTTGATATTTGATCAATTATTTAAAATTTTAACCCCTAATTATTATGATAGGATATAGTTAGATTAATAATATGACAACTATTCATCAATCTTCATATTAATTTGGTTCAATATTTTGATAACTATTAGGCAATGAATCTAAATTAAAAATTCATTAGAATTTTACTTCCGAATATTAAATTTGCTTAAAAAATCTATCTAATATATCATTCATCTTTTTAAATGAAAAGCATCAAAATATATACAATAGTCTATAATTATATACGCATTCATATAAATATAACAAAAGATGAAAATTTAGAGTAATTTTTTCTTCTCTATATTTTTATTCTATTAGTTTAATAATTGTGACTAATCTTTCATGAGTCTCATTTAATGAATTTCATCTTAAAATTCAATATACTAAGATTTGTCAAATCCCAATAACATTCATTAGAATTTAGCAATCCATATTTGAAAAATGTTTCCATAGAATGATAGTTGCATATATTATGAAAAAATTTTTTCACTGACCAGCAATAAAGTTCAAAATTTTTTGTCACTATTTATTTTTCTCAGAATTCAGCCAATATCTAATAATACTTGAAATTTTTCCATTATTGATTGTATTTTATTCAATGCATTATTTGTCAGTATCTCTTTTTTAATCCAT